TGCGTTATTCGATTCTATAATATTATTATGAAGCCCGTTAACAAATATTTTAATATTCAAAATTATTATTGCGAAATCAATTAAATAATTTGGTTTTTTTTTTTATTCATTCGAGTAGGAAGGTATACGCTGAATTAATGCAAGGTGTCTATTAAAATACGTATTGTTTGTTATTTGCACAGTAATGCAATACTAGTTTATAACTAATAAAAATGCAATATTTCAAAACGCCATTTCAGTATGTACGCATACATAGTTACCGTTTGGTTAGGGGAATTAATTTAGTTAATATGATGTATTATGACGATTTGAAACGTCATAATACACGTAGAAAAAAATTGTACTAGCTGATCAATAAATAGTCAGAATATTTTCAACTACCACATTCTGAATGCATGGCTGGGCCATTGCACTGTGCTCATACTCTGAAACTACTTGAAAGTTCCAAAATACAAAACAAATTGTATGTTTTGCCATTCTAAACGTTCTTATTTATGCATAGATATACGTAAAAAAGAATATATTTACTACGTTTGAGTTGATACCTGTATATTGAACGATAAGGTTAATTTGCTTGTTTATTGATTCTAATAAATAATAATTAAACATAGTGAATAAATATAAAAATAACAAATTCATTTTTTATTTACTATATTTATCTACGAGTATTAACCATTTTAATTATTTTGTTTTTACTTTATTATTTTATTAATAATTTAATATTTTACAATAAACTGGCTGTCCGATTTTCGTCTGGGAGGAAATTCTCATTTATGTATTTATTTATATTATAAAATTGATTTCATATTAAGCTTTAAGTGCTTAGCACAACCAAAATTCTATTGAATCTAATAAAATTATTGGAGTTTGGATTTTACGTTTCAAACATTATATGCCTATGTAAAAGAATTTTATCTAGTTAATCGAATTGTATCAATTTTGTTTATAAAATTTAACCGGATATGCGATATGGATATGGTACATTTTATGTATTTGTGAATACCTGTTTTTTGAGTAAAAAACAGAAGCCGTTTGGGAATTTTCCTTTTTGTGAAACGGGAGCCGTTTGGAAATTCACCATTTTGTAAAACGAGAGCCGAATGGGCTATGTCCAAAAGTATACCTACACGTACATAAAATATGTTTTAGGTGCATAATAAATTATTCACATACCTACATTATGCACAGTAAGTATTTAATTTGGTACCGAAATATTTGAACACTTGCAATTTTTGTTACACAATAAACTTACTTATAATACTTATGTCTATATTATTACTTTAATATACCAAAACAAAACTATATTATATTATTATGCACAGTAAATATTTATACATAGGTACGTAATTAAAATAAAAAACTGATGGAGGTGCTACTGTGCTCACAAAAACCAATTCTGATCAAAGCGATTTCGATTTGCGATTTCCAAAAAAATTTAAAATTTTAAAGCGTACAAAAGCCACTAAATACAATTTATGAAGTTAGGTTAGGTTAGGACAATGCGAGTTATTAAGTGTGAGCACCTTCACGCAGGATTATTTTATGAAAATTAACAAAAGTGTTTGAATATAAAAATATTAATACGTCAACGCCAACTGCGCATGGCCCTGACAACACCTACCGCTGTCTGCACCATGGTTACCACGGATTTGTACCTTATGACTACACCCCCGTCCTACGTTTTCTAAATCTCACTACCTTAACCGATCATCGTGAACATCTTAATAAATATTTTCCTCGAGAACTTCTATCTGGCTCAGTTGACTCTCCTTATCTCCTTGCACTTTTAAATTTTAAAGTACCAAATCGTACCACCCAGAATTATACATTTTTTGTTACTCCACGTTACCCAACCAACTATTTGAGAAACGAGCCTCTCACCGGGATGATGCGTATAACTAATGATGATCCGTCATTCCTCCTTTAGGTTAATTTTGTTATTTATGTTTTTAAATTTTTGTTGTATCCTACCTTATCATTATTTTTTGAGTTTGCCCTAGCTGCTTATTAACCTTACTGTAACTTAGTCTCAAGCTTATACTGAATGTATTTGTTGTTCTTAATTTGATTGCATAACTATGTACATGTGCATAACTATAATGTGTTATATAATTTTTTGCAAATGGGGCTCCAGCTCATTATCTTAATAAATAAATAAATATTAATGTGTCTATTTTTTTTCTATTTTTTTCAACTATTAGAAAAATTACTTGAAAAATCAAAAAATGCACTTTATTAATGTATCAACGAGGTTCAGGATTTCTAAAATTGAATTAGATCAAGATTTTTAATAGAAAAGTTGTTGCCAGACAGAAAGAAGATAAACAAATTTCATAAAATATAATAAAACCAACACAAAAAATTGAGATATTCTGTGCATACATATTTTCTTTAAACATATTCACATATTGATGGCATGCAATATCGTTACGTACTTATGTATAGTGAAGGTGTGTATACCCTGTATTTAATAATATGTATTAACTACTAATAGATACTTGAATATTACAAACGTTAGAGGGCCAAATGTTAAATTTAGAATATGATAAATTATGTTAGGCGCTGTGGGAGACAGTAAAGCTCTTACGAATTAAATTGCCATACAAATTGTATGAAACCCCCTGTTGATTTAGCAGCCCAATTTATGCCACCGTATTTATTGGTTTACTGTATTAGTTTTAATTTACTTTGAAAATGTGTTTCTATAATTCCAATTGTTTTTATCAATTTTTTTTGTTCTCTATATATTTCATCAAGCCGCCGTTTCAATGTATCTTTACGAAGAATAACGATATAATCTGTACATTTCCAAAAAGCAAAATTAAGAAACAATTAGTTTATATTGTTATTTCATTACTGTGAACATAACATAAACAATTCAAAACAGTAAGACAAAAAATTCAAATTTATAATTTTTACTTACCCATTGTGCATAATTGAATCATGTATACTGTAAAGTCAAAGTTAAAGGATGTAAAATATTTATTCGGCTAGTCGTAGTCATACCACGATCTTTATACCGTTATATAAGAATAAACTCGTCCTGGCCAATCGGAACTATGTAATATAAACAAAATATATTATTGTAATTTTTTCCCCCTAATTTATAGTCCGTCACCTTAGCCCTTTCGACACACAAGCCCTAATAATTTACAAACACACTGAATCCACGTGTTTGGTTATTTCAAAACGTGACTTACCTATAGTAGCATTATAATATATCTTAATAGAATGTGAAATATAATATGTTGTATACAATTAAATTTAGTGTTGGTTGGAGAAAAGTTGGTTGATTACTACATTCAAAATGTGTCAACTGATGGTCAAGAATAATCACATTATTATGTTTGATTTATATAATACGTACACCTACGTAAAGAGTGGGATAGTGAAAGTGACATCAACGAATAGAAAAAATGGGGCGTGGTCGACTGACCAATAATATTTCGATGTCATCGTAAAACCTGTTCTCTTAAAATATTAAGAAATAATACTAATGATTATCATAAACTATAAGATTATCGTTTCGTCAATTTGACAATTTATCGTATAATTAATACCAGCAATAGTAACAAAATAAATAATATATTATCATCTATGCTAATATACTTAAAATTATTATTATTATGCATAATTATACTCATTATTAATTGCATAACAATAATAGTGATTTCTAAATGAATTATTATCGATTCTATTCATAATACCTATAGTCAAATATTTTGAAATTGATTTTTAAAGTTATAGGTATAACGTTTAAGTATCGAGAACAATTCGTGTTTAAAGTTTTAGATTCTGAATTGAGTGAAGAAGAATGCATTGGTTTTTTAAAAAGATGTTTATTTTTTTATTATTTGTTTTTTTTGTGTGAACACTTTTCTACCGAAGCTTACTCCGATTTAGACCCTTTTATGAAAGGAAATTTTCTTGGAGTGGTACTTTAGGGTGGTCATTTTTTGATTTTCCCGGTAGTTTTCCGGAAAAAAGTGAGAAAAAACGGATAAAATATATGAAACATATTAGTAAAATATTGTGATTTTTTTTCTGTGGACAACTTTTCACCAGCAATTTTTCTCCAATTTAGAATAACAGCATTTTTCCTGGAAGGAAATCTGACTGAGAAGGTACTTTAAGCAGGTAATTTCTCGGTTTTTCCAAGAGTTTTCCCAGCAAATTGGTAAAACCAAGAAAAACATGGGAAATCAGGGTAAAACGTAGGAAAACGGAAAAATCGGTACATTAAAAAAATATAATTAAAGACAGTTTATAATTCTTTTTTATTTATTTTACCACAATATGACATATATATTGTTGACAAACCATCACTATCAAATGAACTCCGCTTAGAATCGTTTTTCGTATGCAATGGTCTATCGTTGTTTATTGATAAAAATTCAATTCCCTTCTGTTATCCTACCTTCCCAACTTCCTACCTACAACTGTGGCTACACCCACGTCCGAAATATGTCCGTTTTTTTAATATTTAATTTTATGATTTTGTAAAAATATAAAAAATAATACAATTATTAAATAATGTTGTTTTTTATTTTTTAGTTAAAATGGCAATACCTGATTATGTGCGCGCCATCGCGTGACGAATTCTTAACGAATTTGACTTAAACATTTTCTTCTAATTTAAAGACTGCAATAGATTTCTATTAGTAGACCAAAAAAAAAAATTGTTTGTGGTTTTATTTTTGCATTTTATTTATACAAGTGAAACAATACCATCGAATCTCATTCGAAGGAAAAACAAATTCCAGCGAGAGCAGCGATTTCAGGAGAATAACGCAATTTCTGTGTATTTTTTTTTTTTTTTTTTTTTTTACGGTTTAAATTATCACTGAACAGAGAAATTACCTACATGAAGATAAACCATCAGAATATAATAAGGACTGTATAAGGTAATATAGTTTATAAGAAGAAAACTAATATTTACAAAGTTATTAGCTATAAAACGCAAAAGGTTGCAAATGAAACATTTTTTTTTTTTTTTTAGAGGGCATAATTTCCGGTTGACAAATTATCAACATTTTGTAACATTTGTGGCTACCAACTTTTTCAATATTAATTTTTTTATAACAATTTCGGACCTTATTTATTCCTTATTACATTTTTATAATTTACCATGTTTCGTTCAACGATAATCTGAACCGTAAAACAAATAAAATACCTACTTATTACGTTATTCACCTAAAACTACTGCTCACAAATTGGACATTTTTTTTTCGTGAAATAAGATAAAACCTTCAAATTTTTCAAAAATAATAAAATTAAATTTTTTTTTAAATTTTTACCAAAAATAAAAAAATAATTGGAACATAAATATTTGTAGTCCATATTCCTGTAAGTAATATAAAAACTACAGAATTTGATTAACTTATCTTCGGAGATATTACAATGGTTCCACTTCGAGTCAATCAGCTTAAATTTCTATAATATATTGGTCCGATATTATGTACATGTTTAGTGAGCATATCATTTGGATTCTAGGCAAGTCTAACCATTCACGTATAGTTTCTAATGTTTCCATTATTATTTTTGGGCACTCATTGGTCAAATTTTTTGTCTATATTACTAAATTCTTTCTAGCTGTTCCTGCTTTCGACCGATTGGATGTTTTCCGTGTGTGCCGTATTTCAGGTTTTGTTTATTGGCTTTTTATTACTCGTGTCTGTATCGGTTCATTAACTCGTGGTATAGGTATCTTTCTAATACCTTTCTTTTCACATTTTTAATAACTATCGTCTTCGTGCTGCGCGTTTCGTGAATATAATGTTTGTACTCGCTACAATCATCCGTGAAAAGAGTATTAATATTATATCGTTATCGTATATTGCTGGTAGATTATCACTGATAATTCAAAACGAAAAAGGTATTTATTTATTTTATTATTTTCCATTAGTGTCTTTCTTGGCGGGTACGTGTAATACGAAATTGTTTTCTCATAATAAACTGAATTGTGTTACGTGAAATAATAAGTACATTTAACCTTCTGTTCGGTGGGCGAAGAGTGATTTATAGGTAGTCGTAGTCGGCCCCCCCGTTGACTCTTATTCAATTACTTATTGACTTAAGTTCGTTGTTGCCCTGTGTCGTTCGCCGCTAATGAAAAGTTTATTTTAGGAACGTGTTAAGTTCAACGAAAAAATCGTAACATATCATCCCGTTGATAATTATTTTTAACTCATTATCATTTTATCGATTATACAACACAGATAAATAATATTATTTTATTTCCGGCACGACATAACGAATTTGCGTTTAGCAGAATCGATATTGGGCTGTCAGTTATGATATTATAGTGAATTTACCAATATAGTATAAACTGATTATTGTATATTGAGTCAATGAACCGACTTAAATGCACCCGCTACTTTGCTGCGCCTTGACGACCTTCCATTTCGATTCACCAACATCATACGTTGTATCGTTCGTTTCCCGCAACGAGAAAAGGAAGAATCATATAGATAAATAAGAGGAAGATAATAACGAACAAAATGCATATATCGGAGTATTCGCTGTTTGATTTTATCACTTATCACGATTATCTATTAACATATTAACAATGCAGATACGGATGATAAACTAGATTGTTAACTAAAGTGATATTATGTGAAGGTGAAGTCAGTATCCGTTATTTTGAGTAGGTTAAATTCATACCGAAATCCCACCAGAATTGTAATTATTGATTAAAAACATTTGAAAGGTACATTTTTAAATGACTAAACCACAAATGTCAAATAGTAAAACGAATTTGTTGTCTACGCGAAAAAAAGATTTTGTTTAAACATTTAAATTTTATCTATATCTGTGATAAATTGTGTCATCAAAATTATGACACGATGACAAGATGGCCTAGATGATGAGATGATAAGATGATACGATACTCGTAATGAGTAATGACGAATGTGTAGCTTCAACCGTTTATGTGATTAGTATAGGGAACCTGGCAGTCTATGGTTTATTATCTATATCTGTGACTATCACAGAATAATTAATCATTTTGTTAATCATTTAATATTGGTTTTTTATCATTTTACCAAATCATTAGCTGTTCTCATCCCGAGGAGGCAGGCGCCGCGCCGGTCAATCACGGCATCACGCAAATAAAACCGTGTTCTCGATTCACTTAACAAATGCTTGTCGTCTAACATTTCGGGAGGGGGGCTTTAGCCCGGAAGCTCCCTCCTGGCTGGTGCGTATTCTGACGTAACTTTTAAAGAAAAATCAAAAGTATAGTTTAGAATATTTTCGGTTGGTTTCTTGATTAATAATCGTTATTGCAGTGCGGCCTACTTAACATTATTGGGTATTCCATACAGGTCGTGAACTGTCGAGCAAAAAAAATCGTTCGTATACATTCATAGGTTATTTATATTGCATCTTCTCTGAAATCCGGTGAGATTTCTTTGAAATATCCGTGAACGGTTTTTCTCGACCTCGCTAAAGTGTATGACGCGTACACGAGTCGGTTCTCGTTATCGTGCCGTCAAGTCACGCGAGAAAATCGCGGTTTATTCTAGGACACAAAAATGAATCACGTTGAGTCATATCACGTGTATTTAGCGATCGATTTATATTATTGGTAAAATGTACTTTGGCGGTATAACGTCTGTTTTCGTTTGGTCAATCGACATGCGAAATTACGGAAAACCGGTGGCGTACTTTTGGCGACAATCGAAATGTCGTGAAAAATCCGTTTGTTTTACACGCGAACGCAATTATAAACGGTAAAAATATTATTCGTTAACCAAAAATAAACTGTAGGTGTACGATATTATCGATATGCGGTATTCGTGACGGCTATAACACACAATATTTGTTTCGACTATTATTATTTTATTTATCTGAACAACTTTTCTACCGGAAATTTCGCTCAGATTTACAACGATAGCATTTTTTCCGAAAGGAAATCTTATTGGAGTGGTACTTTAGGGAGGTTATTTTTCGATTTTCTCATGGTCAATCGTTATTTTTCAAGTTTGTAATATCACTCGATCAATTATTGTATTAAGAATGCTGTACCACGCGATTAACATACATAATACAAACAAAAATGTGTTTATTGCTTTCAACAAGTTTTTAGCATCAAATTTAGCTTCAGCGGATAATACTTCTCGATTCATTAAACCAAACACTTTAATGGCATCAGACAGTTGTAAGTTTAATGCTCCGGGTGATTACTGGTTTGAAGACCGTCTTGTCGCACTGTAACCCTTTAAAGACAAATGAAATTCATCCATTAAAATATCCCATCTTTGGATGAAATTATTTTTGTTAATTATTCCAAAAAACATTTCTGCGAATCAATAAAAACTGCGAACAATCCAATACGATATCGGTTATTGCCGTACACAATCGCACGGTTCTATAAAAACCAGTCTGGCTCACTTCAATTCCGAACACGCCTATTATTAAATTACGAACGTAATATTATAATATTATATTATGTTAAGAGGACCATGCTGCTCTTGTGGCTTTTTTACAGATCGTTAACGATTACAATTAGAACGGCGCAACGATAGCTCACGACGAAACATTCGTTCAGTTTTGATTTATGTATCGCGGGGTCATTTCGCGTGGTTTACACCTCGCAGGGTTCACGCTCCTCTTGTCTCGTATAGAAACGTCCGATTTCGATTTGATTTTACCGTATGGAAATATAATTTGTAGATGCACCCATGCAGGAAACCCTCGTTATAAAATATATAACGTGTCCGTGCGGTTGCCCTAAACTCAATCGGATAGTCGGAATGTATTTTGTCGCTAAATCACGCGCGAGACAAAGAAAACAAAACACGCGTTATCGCGGGGGTTGTTTAATATTTCCGCGTGGACGATTTTCCCGCGCGTCACGTCGATCTTCGTTGGTTCTCTAGAAATAAAAAATAAATTAAAATACAATCAGTGTACACCAGTCGATAAAATGCAGATATGAATCGTGGAGTACTAGCGAATCGTCGAAATGTGTTCGATAATAAAGGGCGAAAAGTGCCAGTGCGAAAAATTCTCGCGACTCGTAATAAAGTGACCCAATTTAAATGGCGAGTTTTTTTTTATCGGGAAAATTAAGACTTCGTAGTTCCTGCAGACCGCACTTAAATTCGGTCTTTCAACATTTTCATCTCAAACGTAATATCTAACACCGCGTCTTTAAAAAAATCATTCTACTATCATTCTTCTTCTTCTTCTCCTTCGTCGTCACCTTCATCCCAACTATTCGGGGTCGGTCACCCTCGTTCCAAATTTCCGTCCGATCCGATTTCCAACCTTGTATACACTGGTGACATACCCACACCACCTCCGTCTGTTTTCTCGCATTTTGTCTACTATCAAAGCCACGCCTAAAGTGCCTCTGATACACTATCTTCTCTCGTCCCGTCACTCATCCACCTATAAGCATTTTCATCTCTGCTACACTCATTGTGTGTTCTATTTTTATGTTTATCTCCCAACACTCCGAACCAAATATTATCGCTAATATTAATGTTTTTACAATAAGCTTCTTTTTAAAACTAATGGCCAGTCAATTATTTACGCTCAAAATAACGTCGTGTCGGCTGTTAGACGCGGACGTAGATGGTATAGAATTGACCATACACAAACCTATCCCGGTGCATTACACTTGTGTTCGACCTTTTCTGTTTCCCAAGCATTTTTAATCACTTGTACTTTCGGTGTACATTTTCTGTACGGTAAAAAGCCGAGAAGCTTCATGTAAGCTCCGAGTGAGTTCCATTTTGAAACAAATAAATAATATCGTGGTACATTTGTATCAATATAGATTATTGTGTAGTATCTGGAGTGATAGAACATATTTTAGAAAGTTTAATCTCGAAAAAGTAACGCAATCAAAACGGAAGGAATAATCGCAAGCGTTTCGCGCAATTTCGCCACGTGCACGGGCCTGCATTTGATTGCGGTGCAGGCCGACATCGTACCGAATCCTATTTTTCCAGACCGCGGTGCGCGCGCGCGCCACTCACGGGACACGGCGTCGGGTGATCGTTGAAATATTAAAAAATAATAATCGGGTTGTACGGAATTTCCGTGAAAACGCGGAAAACCGGCACCCGGCGCCTCGGTCGAAAAATGCCCGCGGCGCCGAACTCGGCGTTTCGGTTTAGCCGTTTTGCTATTGGCGTTTCACCAGTGGGCGTTTTCGAACGGTCGGTGTCTGCACATAAACGTATGATTTGCGCGGACTCGTCTTCTCGCCAA